CCCGGGGAGGCGGGTGGGGAGGAAGCCAGGGGGGGGGGGGGGGAGCAGAAGAGGAGTACAGGAGCCAGTTCGTGCCGCTACAGAGTGAGGCATGAGGGCATGCCACAAGCTGAGGCACCCGCCTGGTCCCAGCCACTGTTCCCTCTAAGCTGAGTGAGTGTGAGCTAGGTCACCATTTTTGGGCCTCCAGCTCACACACTTTTGTCTTGGCTCGGGAAGGATGTGGCTCCAGAGCAAACTGATTCATGCAGGAGCCAAATCGCCCGCTCACAACTTTAATGCCGGTAGCAGCTCCCCAAGTAGAATTTCTGCTCATAAAGACTCCCCAACTGCTTCCCCCCCGCCCAGCTGGTGGATGTCCGTTCCCTTCCGGAGAAGGTATATGTCTGCCCGCCTCGGCATCAGCGGTGCTGTTTCAAAAAGACCTGCGCTTGGGCCGCGGTCGTAAGGCACTTCCAGCCTGAAGCCCCAAGCCCTTGGAGGCTGTGGGGGCAACTGGAGCCCCTGCGTCTGGCCCTAAGAAGGTGTAACGACCCCTCCACCCCGGCCCCACGTCACCAGGCAAAGTGGGCAACACGCTCTCTTTGCTGGGCGAATGCCGGGGCTGCTCAGCGCGGTGGCAGGGCTTGTCCCTAGGCCCACCGCTCAGGACATATTCCGGGGGGTCCCCGACCTTTCTCAGCCTGGAGGCACCTCTGGAGTTCTGACCGCAGTGCGGTGGGCGCAGCCACAGAATGGATGGCACAAGATTGCTGCCACGGCCGTCGAAGGGAGCGCCAAAAGGGCTGCCTGCCGCAGCTCACCTTCCGCCCCTTGTGTGCCAAGGCCATGGGGGGACCCTTGTGTGCCAAGGCCATGGTTTTAAAGATCTCCACAGGCCAATCAGAAGCCTTGCTGGGCCCAACAGCCCCACCCATTTCCTAAAAACACTTGGGTGCTGTGCTGCCCACGGGCGCCATGTTGGGGACCCTGGTATATCCCATGGCTGGGGGCTGGGGGACATCTTATGGAGACCGGAGACAGGAGCGAAGCCACAGCAAGAGCCCCTCTCTCGGTCTCCGGGCATGGTGGTGGTGGTGGCTCCTTTGTGAGGGCCAAGAAGGGGGCGGGCACTGATACCGCCCACCTGCCCCGAAGTGTGGAGACCCCGGCTGCTTTCCAGCTCCAGAACGCAGAAGAGGAGGAGGTGGGGCTTTCGGCAGGGAAAGAAGGCAACGCGGTTGGTATGAACAGGCATCCTCCCCTCCCCCTTCCCCCAAGCTGTGCTTGACCCGGAAGTTCTCCAGCTGCCTCTCTGCCCTTTGGGACTTCCTCCGGCCTCTGTGAGCAGCCCCTGGGAGCCTGTGAGACACTCCCCCCCCCACTAAGTGCCTCCTCCTCCTCGGGAATGCACAAGACCATTCTGGGCAGGACCCCCCCCCTTCCTCTGGGTGCACGCTTGGGGGAACACGCCAGGCAGCCTTTCTCCCACCCCCCCTCCCCCAGTCTATACAGGCAATAAATACGTGGCCCCCCCATCCCAGCTCAGCCCCGACTGCGAGGGGCCGGGACACAACGGGGGGGCTGCCCAGCGGGTACCGTGCCATGCGGGCACACACAGCGGTAGAGGCCATCCGTGTTGAAGCATTCGCCTCCCGGGCAGAGTCCCTCCACCTCGCCGCATTCGTTGATATCTGGGGGGGGAGAAGGGAGAGGGGGGCCGTCAGCACCCACCCCGGCAGGTCTTCCGGGAAAGAGGAACAAGCCGGTATAGTTGAGTTAAAGCCCAGCCCGGGTAGCCTGCCGGGGGGGGGGGCACAGAGATGCAGAGCCCAAAGGGCCAGGCGGGGTGGAGGGCCAGCTCCAGGGTCCAGGCCAGTAGGCAGGGCAAACAAGTGGGCAGGGCAGGGGGAAAGCGAGGTTCCGTCCAGCCACCCCTCTCTCACAGTGGCTGACAAGAAGAAGAAGAAAAAGAGATTGGATTTCTACCCCCCACCCTTCACTCGGAGTCTCAGAGCGGCTCACTAACTCCTTTCCCTCCCCCTCCCCACAACAGACAGACACCCTGTGAGGGAGGCGGGGCTGAGAGAGCTCTGACAGAAACGGCTCTATTTCAAGGACAGCTCTTGTCAGAACTACGGCTTGCCCAAGGTCATCCAGCCAGGTGCAAGTGGAGGAGGAGTGGGGGAATCAAACCCGGTTCTCCCAGATTAGAGTCCGCACACTTCACCACGACACCAAACTTGGCCGAGAGGCCAAGCGGGAGGGCCTTCCAGCACCAGAGTGCCAAGGCTGCCTCCGCCTCTAGCCAGGGAGGTTCACCCTTGCATCACGTGCCTTGGCTAGCAGCCCTTCACGGACACCCCCCCCGCATCCACCCAAGCCCCCCGCGGGGTGCCCAGTGCCGGTGGCCAGCCGGGTGAGGGGAGCAGTCCTCACCGAGGCAGGCCATGCGGGCGGGGTCCAGGCGGTATCCCTCGTAACAGAGGCAGGTGAACCCGTCGGCGACCCGCACGCAGCGCCCATTCTCGCAGCCACTCAGAATACCACATTCCTCAGAATGGGCGGCCCCAAAGTCCTCGGAACGGCCTGGAGGAGAAAGACAGGCACCGGTGGCTCCTCCGCTTCCTCCCCTCGGCCACGCCGGAGTCAAGCTGGCTTCCCCCGCTGCCCTCCTTGGGCCCATCCAGTCCATGGCCCCGTTAACCCCGGGAAGGGAAGAGCCAGGGTGCCAGGCGCCCCCTCCCCTGCCGCCCCCCTTCTCGCCACTGCCACGCACGGTAGTCTTCGCTGGCCCGGCCCGGCCGCTCATAGGAACTTCTGCGGCTGCTGCTGCCGTGTGGCGGGTAGAGCCATTCAGGGTCCTCCGGGGGGCCACGGGCCCCATATCCTCCGCGGGGGGGCTCGCCCAAGCCCTCCTGCCGCATGTCGCTGCCGTAGGACGGGTCCTCAAAGTCGCCGGCCTCGTAGGGGGATGGGCCGTAGAGCGAGTCCCGGGGGTAGGGGTCGTAGTCGGGCAGCCGCGGAGCAGGGCGGGCCGGAGGGGCGAATATCTCTGGGCCGTAGGGCACAAAGTCCCCGCCCCCGTACTCATAGGGCAGCCCCAGACCCCCGGGACGCTCCAGCCCGTAGCTGGGAGGGCGAAGGACGTTGCACAAGGCCTCGAAGTCCTCTGGGGAGGGAAAAGAAGAAGAGAGAAGAGATTGGATTTATACCCCATGGCCCTTCACTTGGAGTCTCAGAGCGGCTTGCAGTCTCCTTTCCCTCCCCCTCCCCACAACAGACACCCTGTGAGGTGGGTGGGGCTGAGAGAACTCTGACAGAAACTGCTCTTTTTCAAGGACAGCTGTGCCAGAGCTTGTGACTGACCCAAGGTCACATCAGCAGGTGCAAGTGGAGGAGGAGTGGGGGAATCAAACCCGGTTCTCCCAGATTAGAGTCCGCGCACTTAACCACTGCACCAAACTGGCTCTCGGCAGTACACAAGACTCCAGGTAGGGAATTTATGGGGTGGGGTGGGGGTGGGGAGGGGAGGGGGTCGCAGCAGCAGCAGCAGCTGTCTCCCCGCCCTCCCAAATGGAACAGGGGCTCTGCACCACTTTGGGCACTGAGATGCAGGACTGGCGGCTTGATTCCAAGAGCCTGCACAACTCCTCCGCCAGTGCCTCCCCTCTATGTCTGGAGTCCTGTGAGCAAAAATTCTACTTTGTGAGCGACGGGCATTGAAGTTGGAAGCCAGCGATTTGGCCACTGCATAAATGAGTTTGCTCTGGAGCCACATCCTTCCCGAGCTAAGGCAAAGATGCGTGGGCCAAAGGCTGAAAAACGGTGAGCTGGCTCACACCGACTCAGCTTGGAGGGAACACTGCTTATCTGTAGAAAAAGAGGAGGGAGGGAGGGAGGGGTATCTCCCCCCCCCCGGGGGGGGGGGGG